CAACATGTCATTGATCACTGTAAACACACCTGTGAAGTGTTGTTGAATACTTATATCTACAACATGTCATTGATCACTGTAAACACACCTGTGAAGTGTTGTTGAAGGTTGGTCGGTGTTGCAGTGGATAGCACACTTGCCTTTCACCATGCTTCTAGCATTACCGTACAAAATTTGAAAGGAATTGATTAAAAAATTAAAAAAAAGTTCTTGCATTTACTACACAATGCCCTTATTTGGAAATGACAAGAACAAAAGTTAGCGGACGGACGGACAACGCAGCCCATACCAATATACGACCCATCAGATGACGGGCATATAAAAAGTGGGACAATATCTCTCATTTGAATTAAGTTAATAGCCCTTCACTCTGGCATGCAACAGAACAAATATCATGGCCCTAGACCTCTTGGTATGTCAGAAGAAGTAATTTAAATGTTTCAACAAATAAGAACCATATGATCTTGAAAGTGTGTCATCATTATTTTGTTGGAACTAATAGCCCTCTTCCTTAGCATGCTGTGGGCCAAATATCATGATCTAAGGCCTCTTGGATATTCAGAAGTCGACACTGGACAGTCGGACGACGGATACTGCACCATGTCATAGCTCACTACAATACATACACTTGTCACATTCACTTTCAAATTATGTCATTAGAAAGAAAAATCAGTGTCCTAATTCTCATGTACTTGTTGTTACATTATATCACATATTTATCATTGTTTTAATTACATAATTCCATTATAACTTCTGTCAGTAATTATCATTCTGTATTACCGGTAATTCAATGGTTTTTTTTTTTACATTAATGTAATAAACGATTCTTTATGACTGAAACTTTCTCCCCTTTCAGTCCCCTTTTATGCGACAAACTCTCTCCATTTTGTCTTTTTTCCAGTGCATATGTTTTCCATTTTATATCAGATTATCTCCCTTTTGTTTCCTCTACTTTACATAGGTCTTATATGTGATGTTACTATTTCCATTTCATTGTTTTATGTCCATGAAGGGGAGCATATTATGCTATCAAACTGTCTGTCTGTCCCTCTGTCCATTAACACTTCCTTGTGTGCACAAATGTTCACACATTTTTCAACCAAATGCTATAAAATGTTGTATGTACCACCATTATCATTATGAAGATTCAGGTACCAAAAACACAGGATCCTGCACCAATTTTAACAAGAGTTATTGCCCTTTTCCAATTTCGATTTTTTTTTTTTTCCCTTTGTCAACACACTTTCTTTAGAGTGTGACTTGCCCCAAAGTTTTCAATCAAATGTTATGAATTTTTGATGTATCTCTTTTATCATATGAATATCCTTTTTCAATTTTTACAAAGTTATAACCCTTTACTAATGATTTTGTTTCCGTTGGAAACAGAAATAGCACTTTCTTGTAAATGTGACTCGTCTTAGTTTTCCACTGAATATCAAGAAATTTTGTATGTGTCACCAGCATTATTTGTAGCTGGACACATATCATAAAATTGGGATCTCTACTCAGTATTTAAAAGTGTTAAGGCCCTTCCAACTTCTATTGTTCCATTGACATACCTAACGTTTTCTTGTGAGTGCAACTGATCCCAGTTTTCAACAAAATGTCTCTCAGAACAAGCTGCAGAATAACAAAAGTTCATGTTTCTACTTTGCATTAACATTTATTCCCCTTCCCAAATTACACTCATTCCACCAATTTATTACAGGGGTATAGTGCTTTCTTGTTGTGTTCTTATACTCCTGAGCGTATTTATCTTCAATTTATGTCACAGATCAACTCACCTGTGTTTCATAAATTATCATGTGCTAAATACTTTTTATCATAAATAATAATAATAATATACAACATTTATATAGCACCCTATATAATTTGTAAAATTACTCTAAAGCGCTTTACAACATATGGATAAAAGTAATGGTTATAATTGTGGGGGAAAAAAAGAAAAAAAAGGCTTACAATCACTTTTATACATTTAAGCAAGCAATGTGCACATAACTGAACAAATAAAAGGGTGGTATTTACAAAACGTCTTTGCAAAGATTCTAAAATGCAGACGTGAAGAGGTGAGTTTTGATGTCCCCCTTGGCCAGGGTATTTGACTTTCTAATAGCAGATGGTAAGCTATTCCACAGCGTAGCCGAAACACTCCCAAAGCATCTGTTTCCGTAGGTCACAGTACGAGATTTTGGGACACACAACAAAGATTCTGACTCCGACCGCAGTGATCATGATGACTGATACAGGATAACAAGCTCCTGTAGGTACTGAGGAGCTGTTCCATTCAGTGCCTTGTCATAGACTGCCTCATTCTGGTTTCTTCTCCTATGCATATGCCTTCCATTTTTGTGTTAAAGAATATTTGCCCTTAGTTATTTATCCTATGCATACATTTTCCATTTAACTTATTGGTTTGTCTCCCCTTAGTTTCCTTTCCTATTCAAACATCTTCCATTTTAAGCCAGAGTCTTTCCCTCTTCCATTTTCTCTCTTCTGCACACATTATGTATTTCAAAGATTGTCTCCCTTTACTATTTCATGTTACAGATAGTCTCCCCTTGTTTGCCTCATCTATGTATTTGTCCTCTTTTTTATCCCCAATGTAGGCAAAAATGGCTTGATATTTACGTCCGGATCTTTCATGATTTAAATGTTCCATTCGAACGTCTCTGAATCCCACTGTTTCTAGCACGTGTATGTATTCCTCAGGATCAGGTTTCCCGTATTGCAATAAATTCTTTTTCTGGGCGTTTATAATGGCGTCATGGTCTAATGTTGTAACCATTATACTTCTCGGCTTCATGACTCGGTAAAGTTCTTTAGCAGCTTGTAAACTATCCTTCCAAAAATAGTAACAATTGCAGTGAAACACACGATCGAATGTGTTAGAATCAAACGTACTGTCTGCTACGTCTTGAAGGTGTAAAATCAACTTTCCTGTCTGTAGGAATTTACCGTTACGTTCTGTAGCCGTTTCCAGCATCAAGCTGGAAATATCAATGCCTTGCACAGTACCATTCCCATCTGAAAGAAACAAAAGTTTTCTGTGACAACATTTTACTCACTTTAGCATTATGTTGCAATATTTTCATAAACACACTTGCATTATTTTACCACCCTATGGTCCATTTCCATACCAAAAATTATACTTAACCCTAATTTGAAAATCAGAGTTACAGAAGAAGACAATTGGGTCTAACTAATTAGCCTACTTGCTGAATAAGAGTAAAACTATGTTTCCACTAACTGAGACAATGGTGGCCAGCACTCATTAATTGTTATTGACCCTAAAAATCAAAATAACAAAAGATGTTTAGAGCAATGACAGGAAACATTTTACCACATTTTGATAAATGTCATCTATCATTTATACAGCATAACATTTCTTAAGTCTAGTGATGCTCCAAACTAAATAAGGTTGCCATTCCTATCTATTTTGCCTTTTGGCCTCCCCTTCAACCCTTAACTTATGTAACACTCTCTCTGGTCTAGGGATGATTCATGCCAAATTTATTGAAAATACGTTCAGCTGTTCTAGATAAGAAGTATTAAAAAGGAAAAATTGAAGCTAATCTGATTAAAATCATCTGTTACATAGCTTCGTTAACTTCCAAGCTACGAAGTGAACGAAGCCAATGTAACAGATGATTTTAATTAGATTGAGTTGACAATGGAGGCTGAATTACAGCTGACAGGGGCTTGTACACGACTTAAGCTCACTTGCTAGATCTTTGGACACATCAGACCAGTGACCTTGTTATACCTTCGATAAGGTGACAGGCAGCTTGTATCCCAATTCCTGGTCCAAAGCCGACCTCCAGTACCTGATGATCAGGTTGTATGTCACAGAGACGTACGGCTTCCATCTCCAGCACGGCATTGTTTTTCTCCAACAGCTTCTGCGAAACATGTACAGGATCAATCAGTACTGATAATTTAAAAAAATCACTGCTCACTTAGTCAGAAATAACCAACTATCTCGTCTTTTCTTGTTAGGGGTGGAGATCCCTGTCTCAACAACAAAGTTCAAAGAGAAGGTAGTCAGTCATTTCACTGTGTCCAACATTGACACCACAAAAAATCTAAAAAAAATACAAGCTTACTTACTTTTACATGTCTGCCTATAAAAGTATTTTCAGGTAGATTAAAGTTGCGAGCAAGTTTTTCTCTGTACCAACGTAGCATCTGTAATATAGAATTGTGTATGGTGACATTAATGCAATTATATATCAACCAAGTAAAATTCACCTAGGGAGACTTCACTTAACCCTTTCACCCCTAAGTAACTTAAGTAGACTCTCCTATACATACATCTGGACAAGTCCATTATGGTCTACAGTGGTGAAAGGGTTAAGATCCCTGTCCCACTGCACTCTGATTTTCCATATTTCAGTATCCTTCCCTTAGTTTCATTTTGAATACATCACTGAAGATTATTCTTATTTAGAAGAATTCCAGACCGCCACTTTTTGTAATTTGCTGAACCTACATAGCACTAACAGCGAGGCTCACGGTTGAGAAATTGTGAATTAGTGAATACCGAGGAGTCTACTGACAGAGGATAGCAGCTGTTTGTGATAATAATGGCGGTTTTGGATCAATAAATTTATCGATGTATGTAATACGTGTAATGTGTCATAACATACTTTTGTGGTGAGAACCTAAAAACTTCCCAAACATGAGTGTCGGAGAATTCCACGATTTCATACCGTAGTGTGCTCTGGCCCCTCACCAGACATCTATCTGTCAAAATGTCTCAGTTGGTAAGAGGTTGTTTCGTCTGTTATTGATGACTTTCTACATTGGTGTTAGGTATATTTCATGTAGATTATGTGTGAGCAGAGTCAGCTTTTCACATCTGCCGTTTGTCACATTCGCTAAAAAAACAAGAGAAACACATTTTTTATGAAATTGATTTTAATTCCATAGAAGACTAAGAAGACTTAATTTGTGACTTAAAACTACTGAAATTGGAAGAAAATAACAAACAATGTTTCGCCCTAATATTTTTGTTTTAGGGCGAAACAACCTAGCGCGAATCAACCTAGGGCGAATGGGATTTCGGGCGAAACAACCCGGAACCGTCTAAGTCTGGTGTCAGAGCTAGAGGAATCTCAGGCTAGATTACAGCTAAAGACATCATCACAGTGGAACGAAGAACGTTCTACTTGGTGAGGAAAGAAGGCATATTCAAAACTGTTACAATTATGATGTATAAATCATATGTCAGATAGTCGAAAACATTAAAAAAATACAGTACAAACTGAATGTAGGGTAAATAACTTAATTGTTAATCCAGATACATACCTTGCTGAATCAGGCCAATATCACTCAACGTGATAAAGCTGATGTGGGTCAGACGTAATCTACAATGTCAATGTAACCTAGTTTCAGCAAAATGATAAACGTCCGAGTCAAGGATGTTTTTTCACCCGTTTCTACTTAATCGTGCTCTAACATACCAGTGTCGTTAACCAAAAACACTGCCACCATTTTGAACAAATTAGTATCACGTGATTGTGTCGTGAACTATTTATAAACTATCATGGTCTATAGATTAAGGATGCACGTTCGTGTTATTATGAAAAATATGACCACGAAGCTTTTCATGCGTAAGGGGTCCAATAAAATGAAGATGAATCAAATAGCCATGTATTTGTGCCCTGAAAACAATACGTTTTTAGCATGGAATTAAATAAGAAATAAGTCCGTGGTTTTAGTTTATCATGTTGAATTATGTATTATGTAAGCCTTAATGTGGGCTCAAATTTGATATATATCACTAATGAATATTTCTGTTTTAAAATCTTTTTTTTTTATCGTGAGGAAGTAAACATAACTTAAGAAGCAATTTAAGTTTTCCAATGGTGTCGACTGCTGTATACTAAAGTCTATAACTTGTTTTAAATATTGAAAAATTCGCGAAACCTCCTCCATTGTATATAAGTTCACATAGACTCCTGATGTTTTCGTGGGTAATTTTTTTAAATTTAAAAATATAATCGTTACTTATTTTTGGTGGGTTTTTTTCAACATCAAGGAGTTCTGAACTTTTCATGAATACCAAGCCGGAACGAAAGAAAGCCTTTTTTATAAGAAGCGCGGAACTAAAGATTATTTCAGTCCGTGTGATAAGTAAGCCTGAAGATGATAAAAAAATAGTTTCAGACTTATAGTTTAGGCCCAGCTTTACTCAGTTGAGCAACTATCTTTTTTATATCCCTCATTCGATGCATAGAAAAGGTCACATTTAAACATAAACTTGATTTATTTTACAACAATTATGAAACAAGCTATTCAGCTAATGTTAGCGCGAGTGTGGTCTTAATGAGGGAGGAAACAGGAGTACCCAAGGAAAACCCACGTGGTCGGGCAGGTGACCTCATATGTTTTCACGTCCGATCGGGGAATCGAACCCCGGCCGACATGTCGTGCATTATACACTGCGCTACCGGAACACTAGGTCAATTGTATGGGGACACACATTATATTCGGTACACACGTCGAACATGATGGGACCTGAAAACCGTTAATTTGAAAGAAGACTCTTCCTAAGCCACAAAAAGGGTACGGTAATATATGTTAATTACATAAAGAAAACGTCACAGAATGCTTGTATACGTCTGTTTGGTTGGTTGATTGATTGTTTGATTGTTTGTATTGATTGTATTTTACGTTCTATAAACAGCTATGGTCATTTAAGGACGTGCCAGGTTTTGGTGGTGAAGGAAAACCGAAGTGTCCGGAGAAAAACAACTGACCAGCCACACATAGGCTTCGAACCCGCGACCTAGTGGCGAAGGGCTAGTGATCATAGACTCGGGCACCGCGACCCTGTAGTTCGCCGTTTATCGGAGAAACTGGAAGGTGATTTTGGATCCGACTTTTTGGACTCCGGAAGAGTACAGAAACACATGAGGGCGTCCAATATCAATAATTCGGCATTTTTATTTTTAAAATATGCGTGTGCCTTGAATATGATAGAAAATGGCAGTGGTTGATAATTGTGAAAGAATGAGATTATTTTATCAAATAATATAGATTATGTTTATATACGTGTTGAAATCACAGCATCGTTACTTATTATGTTTAAATGAAGAAAGAAACCGTAACAGTTTATCTAGAAGAGTATTTATCTTAACAGGTGTTTATCTAAAAGTACACCTCATCTAAACAGGGGTTTATCTAAAAGAACACCTCCATCAGTATCTATCTAAACAGGGGGTTATCTAAAAGAACACCTCCATCAGTATCTACCTTAACAGGGGATTTATCTAAAAGACCATCTCCATCAGTATCTATCTAAACAGGGGTTTATCTACAAGAACACCTCCATCAGTATCCATCTAAACAGAGGGTTATCTAAAAGAACACCTCCATCAGTATCTATCTAAACGGGGGTTTATCCAAAAGAACACCTCCATCAGTATCTATCTAAACGGGGGTTTATCCAAAAGAACACCTCCATCAGTATCTATCTAAACGGGGGTTTATCCAAAAGAACACCTCCATCAGTATCTATCTAAACAGGGGGTTATCTAAAAGAACACCTCCATCAGTATCTATCTAAACGGGGGTTTATCTAAAAGAACCCCTCCATCAGTATCTATCTAAACAGAGGTTTATCTACAAGAACACCTCCATCAGTATCTATCTAAACAGGGGTTTATCTAAAGGTACACCTCCATCAGTATATATCTAAACAGGGGTTTATCTACAAGAACACCTCCATCAGTATCTATCTTGACAGGGGTTTATCTACAAGAGCGCCTCCATCAGTATCCATCTAAACAGAGGTTTATATAAAAAAAACACCTCCATCAGTATCTATCTAAACAGAGGCTTATCTACAATAACACCTCCATCAGTATCCATCTAAACAGAGGTTTATCTAAAAGTACACCTCATCAGTATCCATCTAAACAGGGGTTTCTCTAAAAGAACACCTCCATCAGTATCTATCTAAACAAGAGTTTATCTAAAAGAACACCTCCATCAGTATCCATCTAGACAGAGGTTTATCTAAAAGAACACCTCCATCAGTATCTATCTTGACAGGGGTTTATCTACAAGAGCGCCTCCATCAGTATCCATCTAAACAGAGGTTTATCTAAAAAAAAACACCTCCATCAGTATCTATCTAAACAGGGGTTTATCTAAAGGTACACCTCCATCAGTATATATCTAAACAGGGGTTTATCTAAAAGAACCCCTCCATCAGTATCTATCTAAACAGAGGTTTATCTACAATAACCCCTCCATCAGTATCCATCTAAACAGAGGTTTATCTAAAAGAACACCTCCATCAGTATCTACCTTAACAGGGGATTTATCTAAAAGACCATCTCCATCAGTATCTATCTAAACAGGGGTTTATATAAAAGAACACCTCCATCAGTATCTATCTAAACGGGGGTTTATCCAAAAGAACACCTCCATCAGTATCTATCTAAACGGGGGTTTATCCAAAAGAACACCTCCATCAGTATCTATCTAAACGGGGGTTTATCCAAAAGAACACCTCCATCAGTATCTATCTAAACGGGGGTTTATCCAAAAGAACACCTCCATCAGTATCTATCTAAACGGGGGTTTATCTAAAAGAACCCCTCCATCAGTATCTATCTAAACAGAGGTTTATCTACAATAACTCCTCCATCAGTATCCATCTAAACAGAGGTTTATCTAAAAAAAAACACCTCCATCAGTATCTATCTAAACAGGGGTTTATCTACAAGAACACCTCCATCAGTATCTATCTTGACAGGGGTTTATCTACAAGAGCGCCTCCATCAGTATCCATCTAAACAGAGGTTTATCTAAAAAAAAACACCTCCATCAGTATCTATCTAAACAGAGGTTTATCTACAATAACACCTCCATCAGTATCCATCTAAACAGAGGTTTATCTACAAGAACACCTCCATCAGTATCCATCTAAACAGAAGTTTATCTAAAAGAACACCTCCATCAGTATCTATCTAAACAGAGGTTTATCTACAAGAACACCTCCATCAGTATCCATCTAAACAGAGGTTTATCTAAAAAAAACACCTCCATCAGTATCTATCTAAACAGAGGTTTATCTACAAGAACACCTCCATCAGTATCCATCTAAACAGAGGTTTATCTAAAAAAAACACCTCCATCAGTATCTATCTAAACAGAGGTTTATCTACAAGAACACCTCCATCAGTATCCATCTAAACAGAGGTTTATCTAAAAAAAACACCTCCATCAGTATCTATCTAAACAGGGGTTTATCTACAAGAACACCTCCATCAGTATCTATCTAAACAGGGGTTTATCTAAAGGTACACCGCCATCAGTATCTATCTAAACAGAGGGTTATCTACAAGAACACCTCCATCAGTATCTATCTAAACAGGGGTTTATCTAAAGGTACACCGCCATCAGTATCTATCTAAACAGGGGTTTATCTAAAAGACCATCTCCATCAGTATCTACCTTAACAGGGGATTTATCTAAAAGACCATCTCCATCAGTATCTTACCGCTACTAAGTGTCGCCGTTTTCTTCCTTCCCTCCACTATTTAATGCAGCTTTGTTAGCCAAGCTACTGACAGTACTTTTTTTTTACATCGTGGAAATATATAACCTTAAAAAAAAACATATTACAAATGCAATAGATAATCAATTAATTTCTTGGGCAAATAACTCCTATGAAAATAAAAAATAAAAATATATACCGTTTAAAGCGCTTTAGAGTGGCTTATGTTAGCTAAATAGGGCGCTATATCAAATGTTGTATATATATATATAAAAAAAATACAGTTGTACACCTGTGTGCATTACTCTGGATTTAAATTTGCAGATGTTATATAACAACCCAAAATCTTAGGGAAAACAATGTTATACTCCTCCTTTCGTCGACATCATCATTTTGATATAATCATGGAATAAGATTATTATGCTATCTAAAACCGTGATAGTCCTATAGAGATAACGACATCAAATTATTTTGTGACAAACAATTTTCAAAATTTGACGGATACGGGTTTCAAACATTTGTCAGAGACGTTCATAACACGTTATCTGTGCCTTCCTGCATAATGTCCAATATAATTTTAATCAAGGTTATTAATTTGGCTAAAATGAATAAAGAACGTACATGTCTCTTTAATGAAACCGTTTTATTTAGCATTTAACGTCCGTTGTTATATACTAGCGTAGTCTAATTGTAACCGTTTCGATTGCATGTTAGTCGTAAATTGTGCAACACTATCCCGACGGTCACTGAATCACAGTTACAATTAAATCACGATGCAAAACGTTTATTGATTATTTCTCGTTCGAATCGTGGGTCAGTGTTATTTCACGGGGTGGGCCGGCTTGATTGACATTCTTGGTCGATTAGTTGTTTTCACGCGTAGAGATATATCAGCCTACACTAATTCTAAATAGCATTGCAAATATTGATTTGATGATCATGAGAATAAAAAAATATATAAATTAATTTGTGGGTGGCATTTTAATGTTGATATATAACATATATCGTGATATTTGTCTTATATAATACTGACCTATTTTCTTATAATTTAACTCGATGCGTGATGCGGTCTGATGACAGGTGCTCGATGTACAGCGCATGCCCCAGCAGTTCAGAACGCCATCTTGGAATTTGAATGTTGTGAATTCGAAAATTGGTTGTGCAGAAAAACTGACGAAAAAACAGTCCTGTAGTTCATAGACGGTTTCGGAGGCCACCTTTGGTTCGAGGAGGCTTTGTATTTTCGGTACGTATTCATAAAATAACAACAAGGACTGTATTTTAAGCAGAATTTACTTTAAGGCTGCGATGTCGGGAGGAGTCGTCTCTCTGAAAGAGGGGTGAATGATAAGGTCTTTGTTTATTTTGAAATTCAACACATTTCTTACACATTGTATACTTAATGTCGGGAACAGCTGGGACAGTTAAAATGCAGTCTATACGTTTATTTGCTGTATGACTTTTTGCGTATGTGGGCTACTTGCACTGCAGTTGTTCAACACGTTGCTTTGTTGTGTATTGTAACGGCTGGACCAATGTGATTCGCCGCACGGGGTCATTGAGAACGCATGGCGGAATGGAAGATTGCCTGCCAAAACAAAGTCATATTTACCCAAATTTATCAATTCATATAACGAGAAAAGCAATTGACACTACTTCAACATTTTCAAATTCAATGCGTGCCTTTTCATTAAGTTGCACAACTTTGGCAAGCTTGTAAATATCCCCGTTCGTTGTTACAGGGGTGCTTAGTTCATACTTATTTTAGGTTTCAAGGGCGCGATCTCGATGTGAAGATAGGTACAGGTGTCAAGTGCTAACTGGTATTTTGCCTGCAAAGCAAAGAGTATTTAATAATCTCCTCCTGCCAGACCCTGGCCCGTCCAAACTCTAGATGGACACTCTGCCAATTGAAAGACCTAGTCGCCATCGCCCGAACAAGTCAAGTTCCATTGCATTCATCTCCCAATTTTCTAATTATTCATCCTGAAGACAAAACTATTAACATCCCAGGTTCATGTTCCCCCTTACCAAGGGACACCCAATGCTTGAAACAAGGCAGCTTCCCTATTTTTAGCTATCGATATAGGATGACCTCCCCTACTGATACCTGCACCATGCAGGAAACTGAATTCTTGAAATGTTCGAATATTTTCAGTTTAAATGTCACAGGTATAGATTTTTGTGCAAGAAAAATAAAAGTCAAATGGTACATTTGTTAGAGAAACAATTTCATCTGGTATCTGAGAACCAGAGATTTTAGTGGCTTTATGCAAGTTTGTAATTCTTCCATGGATTTCTTTGGTGAAAATTTTTTGTTGGACCGTTCTTTAAAATGAAGGATAAATGGATTTAAAAAAATAATGCAAGTGCAGGTATTGCTTTCTAAAGTCTAGCTCTAGACCTGGAGGGAAACACATTTTGATGAACCCCTTTAATTGCAGTGAAGCTTACATCTGAATTGGGTTCGGTTTTCCAAGAAATTTCTCTGGGAGTTTGGAGGATGAACACTGAGTTTCAATAGTAAATAAAAATATACAACATTTTATATATATAGCGCCCTATCTCGCTAGAATAAGCCACTGTTCAGCACTTTCCTTAAACAATCTGTTTTCAACAGGAATTTGCATTGGCGTGACTAAAAACCAGACAAATCACAATAGTTCAAGAATATTCAAACGTATATATTTCAAAATAAAACAAAAGAAAGATATAAATACATCCATCATAGATATACAATCATTACAACTAGCATATATATATATACATTAGTCAATACAATTTTAAGGAATTTGCAGGAGCTGCCTTATCAGGTGCTAACTACTTGAACTATGCTACCTGGCTAATATCTCCCTATGTGTATATGCCTGTGTGTGCTTTGGGGATGTATTGTGCATCAGGTTTGAAGAAAACTTGTTTGCACATTCATGCGTGTCCAACTTTATTTGAAGAGTAATTTCATGCCACTTCTGTACCTTTGTTGAGACAACTATGAATATAGATCGATTTCTGCCAGTGGTTTTATTTGCTCTGTTTTACTGATGAATACAGGCTGTTTCCCCTAGCTAAAAAGTACCTTATTTTCCCAAAATGACCCAAAACTGAGGAATATATTCCCAATTTCTATACAAATAATGCTGTATTTTCCAAATTTATAAAGAAACAGGCTGATGTAAAAATTGAGGAAACAAAAATGCTGTCTTCAGCTTGTTTTGATAGTTTATATGATCTGATAGTGTTGGGAATCTATTAAAAAATCATGCTCGGTCATCACTTCCGACTAATTATCAATCAAATTGAACTTAAATTCAGAAATTTAATTTTATATTCGTTTTCCAAAATCTTCTTTCATTTTCTAGGGAAATCCGACGTTAGAGAAATTCGCCAATAACGCTCAACATTCATACAAAAACAAGATGATTGTTGACAGAAACTCATAAGCATTGAATAATATGTATTTTAAAATGAGATTGATGATGTTCAGAAATGTCGCGATGGATCAGCATTCACCTGATGACATCCCGTCAAACGTAACATTTATTTGCCCTCACTTTCGGCAAAACGTTTTAGTCCTATCCAGCTTAAGAATGTTTAAATCTAAAATGGTTACACATTTTTGAATAAGTAGCCCCCGGATGATCATCGAGTTGTCTCCAGAATGTCATGCCGTGCCATATTATAAAGCTGTGAGCTGTTGGAACACAAGTTCCGATTGGTTGTTGTGTGGGACGTTCCGTTCAGTTGTTGAGCCCAAGAATGAACAATTCGTTGACAAAACAACCTGCTGTCGGCGAGTAACAGTATCCAAGTTTATTTTGTGTAAACGCTAAAATTAGTCAAACTATAATCGATCATGGGGAAACAAGGGTCGATTAATCAATGTTCAGAAACTAGCGACCGGACGTCAACTAAACTGATTAATCGGAACAGAAATTACGATCTGATATCATGTGTGTCATTTCTTAAAATGTAAATAACCACTGGCACAAGTGACAGCAGTGAAGCCAAATGCTGTGTGGTGACTGTTGTCAAGTTCCAAGTTTTAATTTTAAAATTACAAACTTCCCAAATGTTATGCAACAACCTAGGGCTATCACAATATACCTTAAAAAAGGTACATTGTAATACACAGGTATATCATATTGCAAAACACAAATGAACTATTGCAGTATGAAATAATTTGTTTTAATTTTGCGAAGTTACTACACATATGAACAGATTCGCCAATAAACATACATATATGCATTTTTCCTAGGTGTAGGAGTTGGAACTTCATTATCAATTGGTTGGTTAAACAGAATTCTTCAATCTGTGTGATATATATGACTTTCTGAAAACAGTTTCTTCTCCATTTGAGCCCCTTTGATTCCTACGACTATATTAGAATACATACTTTCCTTCTGTATTGCAAAATATGATATATGTACCCTCTAGGTATATTACAACACCCCTATAACAGACAAATTGTATGATATATATACTCAACTAAGATAAAAAAAAAAATGGTGCTTGCAATGCACAGATGGGTAGTTTCTTTAAAAAGGCAAAGCTTGGCTAAGATTTAGGTCATTTGACAATTATTAAGTTAACAGATTCAGTCTTCATTCCAAATTCAAAAGTGAAACATCATGTAGGCCTACCAAAGTCTAGTGATGGAATTGTCAACAAACACCTTAACAGAATTGTATTGGTTTGATAAATGAACAAGTATTACCAAATATGTAATTTGAAAATTATGGTTATTCAAATTAATGCAATATTGGAGCATATATGTTAGCATTTACATAACTTGGACAAGCTTTTAGTTGTATATTTCCCTTGCTATGCAGGCCTAGGGCTAGCTCTCGGTCTTGATTCAGTTTCGCCATATTTTAATATGTTCCCAACAAGTGTGTGTGATGTCCAAATCGCCAATCATGTTTTACTTATGCCAATGGCGCCAGCGCGAGCCCTACTATGATCGGCTGATCGTTTTCCTTAAATCTTTTGGGCCATACAGCATTTATCGATTAGAACATTTGTAACCATAATGCATCGGTTTGAATTCCCCTTTGAATGTCACAGCTCGTTATTCCTGTCCTTACCTGGGTTCAAATTGATTGGAATTATTGATTTAAATTCGGAGCAACCTGTAATTAAGTGGACATCAAGTTAGCCGTGTATATCCTTCACCATGTTATTGCGTCCTATTTCAAACGAAGTCTTGCAACAACAAAATCTGACTCAATAATATATGCTGTGATTAGAAATTTGTAATACCCACCCCTACTTGAGACCAAGCATCTCATTTTCATTTCCCAATTCCATCCTTTTATTGACCTGTTGTGTTTGTTTTGTCAAGTTTTAGGGGTGAGCTGCTTCCCAAGTAAAAACATATTTTATTTTCCCAATTAATGCTGGAATTGGCTGTGTAAAATTGAAGAAGAAAAACTATCACTGATGACCAAATTTATTTCAGAATCTGTTTCCCCTGTTTCAGTGCCTTAAACCTTTAATGGACCATTCCATTGAGGTAAGACAGGCTGTAACTATGTTTTGCAATGACCTACATTAGCCATGACTTCTGTTTGATCTACACCAGTCCATGTCTGTAAAAAAAGGGGATTTAGGTATCGGTGATTGGAACTTGATAGGAGCAATGGTACAGTAGGCACATCAAAGAGAAGAACAAGTACTAAAGTGAGAAAAGGGATAGAGATTTTATTTCAATCGCACAGCTTTGTAGTAGCCTAATGGACAAGTACTGGGAACATGTTTGTGCTCTAAAAGTAATTGTACATGGCTCTATAATTAAGGTAGAATAAATTTATGTTCATTGATCTATAACGCAACATTAAGGTAAGATGGTAAGCTAGGTAGCATGGTTTCTGAAGAACATTCATTTTCACTTAGCTGGCAGTGTTGTAGTATAAAGAACTAAAAATATCATTTGTGTACTTGTAGGTCCGTCCAACTCCATAACTTCTCTGTAGGTCCAACTCCACAACTTCTCTGTAGGTCCAACTCCACAACTTCTCTGTAGGTCAGTCCAACTCCACAACTTCTCTGTAGGTCCAACTCCACAACTTCTCTGTAGGTCCAACTCCACAACTTCTCTGTAGGTCCAACTCCACAACTTCTCTGTAGGTCCAACTCCACAACTTCTCTGTAGGTCCAACTCCACAACTTCTCTGTAGGTCCAACTCCACAACTTCTCTGTAGGTCCAACTCCACAACTTCTCTGTAGGTCCAACTCCACAACTTCTC